TCTAATAATTATAACATACTATATAAGCAATATTGCATAATTATACAAGATAGCATTCTATCTCAGCATAATTCCAGATATAACCACAAGTTGAATAGTTATATATCGCTTATATACCCACCTACTCCTCTTGTGTACCTAAACTAAAGTTCTACAATATCGTCCATTTATTTAATTCTTCTTTTATACAAATTAGAACTCCATTGTCTTTTGACTGCTTTCCAATAAGATATAATGTTTCGAACTGAATTTAAAGTGAGAAAACCAATTTTCAACCTGCGTAACTCAATTGCTATGGCTCAAGCAAAAACTATTCCATGATAATAAATTGTCTATCAAAATTAATCTATTTCGTTCAAACAAAATACGTACATTAAAATAAACTAGAGTCAAAGTACCAGTCAATAAGATACAGAAAGGAAATGAGAGTTTCATTTAAAAAAAAAATGTTGAAATTGTTTCTACACCTATTGCTAATTCATATAATATATTATTTTTTATATTTAAGATTATTGTGAGCTAAAGACTGGTTTAGTAAACCTGCACATTTACTACTTAACATAACTACTAATATTAGCTAATTAAGATTTTATTAACCAAGAACAAATGATTTTAACTACTGTTGGGAATCATATTATAAAGCGGTACCAATGGGTGTATATGTTTCTGTTATATTATATCTAAACCAATTTACTAAATATCTCGTTGATAATTTGAAGAGCTTAATAAGACAAAAAACCAAGTCAAATATATATTAATACTAATTTTAAAATAATAACGAAATCTTGTTTGCAGTTGGGTGAACGGTGTTAAATCAATGTGGCACGGTTTGCTTCAATTGTGTGCTGGTGGACACTTGTTACTCAACGTCTTCTTGACTTTATTTCTACTAATTATATCTGGTACAAACTATCCTGGTGGTGTTGCTCTAACACGCCTCCATCGGCTTGAAGCGAACAATACAAATGTCACAGTACACATATCGAATTTAGCTGCACAAAGCGGCGTCTCTCGTTTTATGCAGATTAGAGATGATTGGCAGTAAGTTTGTCATATACCAAAATTCAAGTTATATATTTAATGTAAAGAAACAGTAAAGTTTAGCTTTATAGTGCATAGACTTTATAAATAATTATATGTACTGCTTATTTATACATATATAATATATATATTTAATTATAATTGTAGTTACTGTAAAGATGAGAACCTCAATTATACAATGGATGAAATTTCAGGATTTACACATATGTTGGTTGAAGCAAAAAGTAAAAACAATTTACAGCAGTGGTCTTTACTGCAGGAACATTTCGAGGCATTAGAATTCATAGATTGCTTTAGTAGCATTGGTATACAATATAATTCACTACTGCCGATACGTATCAAAACAAAGCCATGTATAGGTATTTTAAGAAAGAAAAGTGCTTCTAAAAGCAGTACTAAAAAGGTGAAGATACCCGATATCAATATGATTCCTGAAATAATAGACGATGTACAGCCAATAAAAGCCACTTCAAAGAAAAAGAACAAAAAAGGAAATAAAAAACGCAATGACACAAATATAAAACCACCATTAGAAATAATTGAAGAAAATCCTATAGATTTAATGGATAATTTAGATGATACAGATGGTATTGTTACTAGTATTGAAGATACATATTCTATTGAAACCTCTATAAACAATGAAGATACAGAAGAATCATTGCATACAAAGGAAATTAATTTTCAAGAACTTCATAATTTAGCAATGGGTCAAGTAAATAAGAAGACTAGAGCTACAAAATTAAAAATACGAAAGCTTATAGAACAGCATTATCGTTCGAAAGGAAATCAAATAGAAAACGATTCCCTGGAAAAGCAACAAAGCGATAAAGTTAATAAAAGTCATACGACCACTGGTAATCGTCAATCGGTAAAGTCAATAATTAAACAGGAACGTATTAAAGAAATGATTGAAAAAATCTCTACAATGGACTTAACAAAAATGTGCAATTTAGATAAGGTGTCCACTAAAGATTGTCTTAAACAAGTAATTGATAAAATTGATGAAGATAACCTTCAACAAACCAGGTAAAAAATGTTATAAATGTGATCAAAGAAAACAATATAAATATTTATGTGAAAAGACAAAGAAAAAGATTGTTCATTATATAATGTTTTGTATCATTTGTGTACTATGTCATAAAGAATAAACACATTTTTGTAAAAAATAAATTCTGAAAAATTATTGACTAAATACAAAGTAATTAATTCAGACACTCAAAACTTATTTTAAAACACATTAAAAATACAGAATTATAAACAAATATAGAAGTGCTAGGTAGCTGCACCAAAAACACATAACAAAAATTTCTGTATAACATCTTAGTGTTCAATGTACCCTAACTGCAGCGCTACCTTCCTTAATAGCGTCCATCTATTTTTTATTTTCAACTCTACGAACACTTAAACTTAAGCCCCATTGGTTTCTGGCTTCATTCATTTGGGTGGCAAAATTCCTTCACCTGAATTCAAGTTAGGGTTAACGCTGCTACACTCTTCCTCATTCTCACTTCCCTATTTTGTGTTATATATTATATATATCATATATTATTATATATATATATTTTTATATTGCGTAGGTTTTATCAACGATTTTATATGTATGCCTTTTAGACTTGAAGGACACACAACTACATATGCGAATTACCCAAAAAATAGAGATTATTTCTACAAATAATTCGACCATTTGCAAATATAATAATAATAATAATAAAGAGTATTCGTGAAAATTGCCCAACAGCCGGTACTGCGGCCAGAAGAGACCTATTGTACCAGTTTCACTATTGATTAAACAAAGCCCCTTAAAGCTTTGTGAATAAAGTCTAGAACTAAATCTAGAGAAGAGTTCTTAATCTGTTCTGGTGACAGAAATTCCTTATGAAACAGGTTTCTTCTGTGCGTTATTAAAGCTGGACAGTCACAAAGAATGTGCATGGTTGTTTCCTCATCTTCGAGGCATAATCTGCATTCAGAGTTAGCAGATAATTGTAGTTTATGAAGGTGATATTTCAGACCATAATGACCTGTAATGAAACCCGTTATCATCCTTAAATTACATTTTGAGAATTTAAGAATGTTTTTGTAGGAGTAAGGTGTTATCAGTGCTTTGCTTTGTCTGAGTCCTGGAAAGTTTACCCAGTACTCTAGCCGCATATGATTTTCCATTTCCTTGATAATCTGTTTTGTACTAGCCCAGTTTATTCCACAAAAGGGTTGAGGGCCTATAAAAGCAGTTTTTGATGCATTTCTGGCAAGCTCATCAGCTTTTTCATTTCCCAAAACTCCTCTGTGGCCCGGAACCCAGTAAAGGTTTACCTTATTCCGAGCTGCAAGTGATTGCAGAAGATCGTAACACTCAAGGACCTGTTTTGATTTGAAAGTCCAAGAAGAAAGAGCTTTAAGAGCAGCCTGGCTGTCAGAGTAAATAACAATTTTCGAGCCAGAAGGTTTTTTGATTAAATTGGATCTTACGCATAAGTTGATTGCGTAGATTTCAGCTTGGAAGACACTCGGCCATGTGCCCATTGCTTCCGAAATGCTGATTTGCAAATATAGAGGAAAAAAAGAAATACTAGAACAAATACTATTCGAAATAAAACAAATAATTTTCAGTTACTTGTTCCATAATATTTAAATAGTAAGGTCATAAATGTTACGTTCTAATTTATTATATTTAGAAAGCATGTAATTTTCTACATTTTATTGACGCAATATATCTAAGTAAAGACTTTGGCTTTTCTTAAAAAAAATTTCTATATTAATTTTATAAACGGTTAAAATCATAGAATCCTAATATTTAAGAAAATGAATTAAACGTTTAAACGTTTTTTTTTTCATGTAATGTAAGTAAATCGGCTGAGCTGACTGTCTAACATATAGTCTTCTACATCTTTAGCGATAGTAAATGAAAGTCTTTGATGGCTGTTAATGACGGTACACTTAATTTAAAATGTGTTTTCTATCTTAAATAATTATATTCTAAAGGATGGTCTATTCTATCTTGTGTGATAGTTCACTTTAATATCAGGGACGACACTCCGGCCCTCAAAACTAGTTGTTTCCTAAAACATTACTCGCGGTTTTAAGTAAGCTGAATATAAATAGAGATGCTCAGAGTTTCTTTAACAAACCGAACCCTTTTATTTTACGCAAACTTTGTATTGATTTTATATGTGGGACAAAATTCTCTTTGTGCATGCATATATGAGCAATTTCTTTTAAAATCGTACTTATTTCTTAACAAGCTACATATGTGCAAATGTGAACTTATATAAAGTCATAAGTAATACTTTGTTTTTATGCCTTCACGTCTCTTGACTAAGTTTGACTTAAGTGTTTATACAACTGTTAGCTAAAGTAGTGAACTGATTTCTAATATTGTGACTTTGCTAGACCTATTCACAAAATGTTTTTATATCAAATCAAGAAACTTGTGCACACCAACATATAGAACAGCAGGTCTAGATCGAATCAAATTATATAGAAGCGATAGCTATTCTTAATCAATGTTACTAATGTCATGTGTATTTTATTACGAATATCTTAATAGTCTTATTCACTCGTATGTATTGAATGAAGTTCTCTCTTATTGTATATACTATCTTCTAAGTCGTTGTTTATAAAATGCCATGTTTTTTATGTGCTAGATAAATTACAATATGTATTATTTTATAAAATATAACAAAATATAACATCTATCTTCGTTTAAACTTGAACTCAGTAAAAAATTTATTGTTTAACTTTTGTGTGTTAGACGAGTGTAAAGTTGTTTTAAAACAATATTACGTCTTTATGATACTTTAATAGGTGTGTTCGTTAGCAATTTTCACTGTAGTCTGTTGCATCATGTATACATAGTTATGAATGTAATCACTATTTGAATTTAAGTGTTATCATTTTAAAACATTTATTTTATTGAATCCACCAACTTATGAATTCATTGGGAAATTAAAACACAATTGTTTCTTGTTGCTCTTATAATAAACTGTTAAATCTGTTTAAATACATTTTAAAGATAAATTATAGTACAACAAAATATTAAAAGCTACAAACACATCTCAGGAAAGTTACAGGCAGTAGTACTCCCCGCGCACAATAAGCTTTGAAATTTTGGTTTTTATATAATTTATTCTTTTTTGGGCATACTGAGGTCATAGAACAATTTACCCATACCGCCTATTGCTACAAGACAAAGCCCCATGGTGACGCGGTATAAAACTTGATCCATTGCAGAACCCTTCAAGAATACTGGTTTGCCGTCCTTCTTTTGGAAATGATCTTGAATTTTTTTTACTTCAAAATAACCTTTATCAATGTTAGTGCTGGGAGTAGCACGTCGCACTCCAGAAGTAGCGAAATTGCGAACGACTGCCTGAAATAAACATTAAACTTAGAATTCGTTTCTTACGTAATTTTTTCATTTACATGTCACATATTCATATACAAATATGACATGTGCACTCTAATATAATACCAATTTAGAAATAATAAAACCCTTTCAAACTTACTCTCGATAAGTTCAACATTTTGAATGTTTTTTAATATTTGTTCAAAGAATAAATCCAAACTTTGTAAAGCAAACGACTTATCGACCGAATATGATGTGCTTAATCAAATATGGAATTATGACAGTTCATCCAGGCAGTATTGCTTACTGTCTGGAGCCAGAGTAGTATTTTTATGCACGTAAAAAATGACATATTTGTAATATGAAAATTATTACCAATAATTAATTTAGGCCGTGTACGAGTTCAAGTAAATTGATAATAAATTGAGGGAAAAGTATGTTATGTCGGTATGGCAGTGAATGTTGGTATTTATCAGAATTTGGAGTAGAGTAAATTAGATAAAAATTAGCTAAATTAGATGACCCCTTGGTAAACATTTTAAAAGATGTTTAATAAATAAATAAATAAATTAGACATTTGTGCAGTAAATAAATATTTATATAAGTGCAGTGCAAATTCCCTGGAAAATTTCAACCTACTATGCCTCAATTTACTCGAACTCGCACACGGTCTTAGTAATAAATTTCAAAAACTTATTATCATAAACAATCATAATTAAAAATGTTCTTTATAATCTATTTTTATAAGTAACGAAATTTGTTTTATATTATTGTAGATGTTTTGATGTATTGCGAAATTTTAAACAAAAGTAATAATTATATCCGTACATCCGTATATATCCGTATATTATTGTAGATGTTTTGATGTATTGCGAAATTTTAAACAAAAATAATAATTATATCCGTACAGTTTTGTATCATATGGTTAATAAGATAAAATATATATACTCCGTTTAGTGTCTATGGTAACGATTTAATCAAAGATAATGAGATAGGTACAGTGTTATAGCACATTCACACTGTCTCATTTAGGTACTTGAGTTCACATTATAATGAGCTAATTTATGCAGCTGATAGAGCTTTTCTATGTAAAAAAAGCTATTAAAGAATTTATTAAATTTATTTTTAATGAGCTCATTTATATAAAAACTCTTGGTATGATTAATATCCTTATTAACGGTCTTAATGAGCAAAACTACCTAACTGAGATAGGGTGGAAGTCTTTTTAGAATTCTAAATTTCTTGTTATACAGCCTTCGATGTATTGCCAGAAGAACATATTACGATACATGGAAATGGGTTTCAGTTTTCTAAGAAATAAAAAATTGTCAAATAGTTTTCTATTTAGTCGTTCAATGTAAGTTACAAAATTTTAAAAAATTTCTATTACGTTTTAATTTTTTTCTAAATGTAAATAAAAAAGTAATTAATTTCTACAAATATTCTTATTTTTTCATTCTCTTTCATTTTCTCTTTGATGATAAAACTAATTATTATGTCGTATGTTCAGTTATGTTTGTTGCACTATAATTTTTAATTGTATCAGCTTATGTATCCCCTAGTTGCAGTCGTTATTGAGTAGTTATTTATCCATAGACTTTTACTACAAAAATGTTAGATTACTCTAAAAATGTTCGATTGGGCAACAAAATTTGACAGATCGAAAGTAAATTTATATTGAATCCAGATTTAGCAATCGAAAACGTTCTATACGTCTGCCTAACCATATAAAACAGCTGTTAATTTCAGGTCTTGCTACTTTGGTAAAATATCTAGTGTTATAAATTGATCTCTAGTATTACACATTAATCTCGAGTGTTATACAGACTGATCAGTCGAAAATAATAATTTAACAAAAAGCATTTGTTATATAGCATACAACAAAAAAGAACTAGCTAGCTAACTGACTGAAAAATTAGTATGACATGACAAACATATACACCATTATACTTAAAACGTATGAAAAAAACATTTGAAAAAATATTTTCAATATTTTTTTATTTTTGTATATTTATATATAATTACGTTTGAGCGTTTGAGTCTTCTGGTTTCAATGTTGAAATAAAATAATAATTTTGATAGAAGTGTATGAAAAAATATTTAAAATTTAATAAATTATTTCTAGCGTAGCAAGCGTCCAATTTTCATACTTAATGCCAGTTTTACAGCGAATATCCAGAACTGTTGTGCTGCAAAAATATTATTTTAACAAGTATTAAAATTCAAAAAGTAGTATTTTGATAGCCCTAAACAAAACAAGGCGGATGACAAATCTTTTGTAAAATAGCTAAATTCAATAAAATTTAACTATAGTATTTTATAACAAAATTGGTTAAAATTTATCACCATGGGTTTTTTAACAATATTAAAGAAAATGCGGCAAAAAGAGAAAGAAATGCGATTACTTTTATTGTAAGTAAAAGTAAAAAAACAAACATAATGTTTAAATTTAATTTTAATACAAACATTTTTGTTTTTAAATGTTACTTATAAATGTTAGGGGTTTGGATAATGCTGGCAAAACAACTATTTTAAAGCGGTTCAATGGAGAATCAATAGACACTATTTCACCAACTTTAGGTTTTAATATAAAAACACTTGAACATAGAGGATATACACTTAATATGTGGGATGTTGGTGGGCAGAAATCACTCAGGTCTTATTGGCGAAACTATTTTGAATGCACCGATGGGTTAATTTGGGTAGTTGATAGCGCCGATCGTATGCGTTTGCAAGCATGTAAAAATGAATTGGAAGTGTTATTGAACGAGGAACGCTTAGCTGGAGCATCACTTCTTGTCTTAGCGAATAAACAGGATTTGCCTGGATCATTATCCGCGGCAGAAATTAAAGAAGTAATTAATTCCACAGAATAATAAAGATGTATATTAATAATAACTTTTGTAAAACTTTTAGATTTTGGAGCTAGACAACATAACAACACATCATTGGTTGGTAGTTGGTGTTAGCGCTGTGACTGGAGAAAAATTACTTTCTGCGGTGGATTGGTTAATTGGTGATATAGCTAAACGCATATTCACATTAGATTAATTAAGTAGATCCGTAAAAATAATTCGTTTTTTTCATGTATTTATTTTTATTTATTATAAAGTTTAATAAATTACTTTTCTAACAAAAATAATTTATATATTCTTTCATTTTCAGCATCATTAAATTCTGGTTTTAAGTTAACCTTTACAATATCCGTTAATCCTTCGTTCAATGTTGGTGGTTTAAATTTTTTTTTCATCATATTGAAAACCATATCATTAATTTTTGAGTGCGAACTGTCAGTTAATTGTCTAAAGACAATGTTATGTCGTATTTGAGTTAATGAGACATTCATCAAGAAGCAACGACATGGCACGTTTGCATTTTTTGCTAAAGCAATAAATTTTTTCCGTGACTCGACGTCGACATTTGTGTTGTCCACTACACACGATTTGGCTTGTTTAAGTGCATTTTCACACGCTTTCAAACAAGCGGCTGTACTACCCAATGTGTCAGCATTTGCTAAAACATATCCATGTGGAAGTAAATGTTTATGAGAAAAATGACTTTTACCTAAAACAAATATATTTAATTCAGTTACATATAATCAAAGTATATTAAGCATTATTTACCTGATCCAGGTAAACCAACCATTATAATTATTTCACACTTCGCAACACCAATCTTTGTTTCTTCAGGCTCAAACAAAGGTAATATTTTAAACGCTTCCTTGGGTACAAAATCTTGTTTAATCCATTGTTCAGTTTTATGACCAAGAAAATGTTCTTCTGGCGTATAAAATGTTACATTAATATTAGCTGCAAATAATCTATCAGCTAGTGAATGGTCCTTTCTTCTTTTTCCAACTCCAGTACCAGTTTCTGGACGACCGGCGGCATCTCCAACATAAAAACATTTTTCAATAATAATATCTTTGTTTGAGTTTTTATTTTTTTGTAAATATTCCCACATTCCTGGTAATGGCTTCCGGTAGTATCCATCCGAAATTGCAATAAAGACTTGAACCGGCACTCCCAATCTTGTTAATATTTTTTTAATTTTCTGTTTAAAATCGTCCAGATTTGTTTTTCCTTTAGCAATGCCTCCTTGATTTGTAAAGAAACAAATTTTGTAAC